AACCTACAGATCCCTCCAAACCTACAGATCCTCCCAAATCTACAGATCCCTCCAAACCTACAGATCCTCTCAAACCTACAGATCCTCTCAAACCTACAGATCCCTCCAAACCTACAGATCCTCTCAAACCTACAGATCCCTCCAAACCTACAGATCCTCTCAAACCTACAGATCCCTCCAAACCTTCAGATCCCTCCAAACCTATAGATCCCTCCAAACCTACAGATCCCTCCAAACCTACAGATCCTCTCAAACCTACAGATCCCTCCAAACCTACAGATCACTCCAAACCTACAGATCCCTCCAAACCTACAGATCCCTCCAAACCTACAGATCACTCCAAACCTACAGATCCTCTCAAACCTACAGATCCTCTCAAACCTACAGATCCTCTCAAACCTACAGATCCCTCCAAACCTACAGATCCTCCCAAACCTACAGATCCCTCCAAACCTACAGATCCTCTCAAACCTACAGATCCTCTCAAACCTACAGATCCCTCCAAACCTACAGATCCTCTCAAACCTACAGATCCCTCCAAACCTACAGATCCTCTCAAACCTACAGATCCCTCCAAACCTACAGATCCTCTCAAACCTACAGATCCCTCCAAACCTTCAGATCCCTCCAAACCTATAGATCCCTCCAAACCTACAGATCCCTCCAAACCTACAGATCCTCTCAAACCTACAGATCCCTCCAAACCTACAGATCACTCCAAACCTACAGATCCCTCCAAGCCTACAGATCCCTCCAAACCTACAGATCCCTCCAAACCTACAGATCACTCCAAACCTACAGATCACTCCAAACCTACAAAGGTACCGATGTCATGCAGAAAAGCAGTGTTTAATGAATGTTATAAATCATTTTTCTTGAATAAGGCAAACGTAATTGAAATGTGTAGTTCAGAAAATGCATTGAATGATGATGACAAAAAAGCAATTCTTGCAAAACACGGTTTGGATAAAGATTTATTGTCCCCTACATCTCTGAAAGAAGCATCTGCGATGTTTCCTTTGTTGTGTAAATTATACTCAAAAGAAGAGAAGTTTAGGAACAATGTTGAAAGGTTCTTTACCTATCCAATTGAATACATTTTAAGGGAATTTGATAAAATGCAAGATCAAAATAGATTGCACTATACTACGTTGGTCTTTTGCATGTTAAATGACAATAAATTATCAAAAGAAATATTAAAAAACACAGAAAACAAGGTTTTCTGTGAAATGAAATTGAAAACATTAGAAAGGTGTAAAGTTAAGAGTTATACTGATGCTTTTGAATTTGTTGATGCATTATCAGTAATGGATGGTTCATACACAAAACTCTGTGGTACTGAGATTACATTTGTACATGACTCAATATCTGAAATCCTTGCTCATCATTTTGGTTCTCAATGCCCAAATCTCATTTTGCAATTCATGAGTAGTAGTTACATTGCTAACTATGTAAAGCTTCAAAAAATTGATATGCTCAAATTAGAAAATGAAAATAAGCAAGGGAGGGAAAATGATGCAGTAAATAGAAGGGGTAAAAATGAAATGAACACTGTTTATGAAAGTTCACAAAACAAAAAGAAGAAGGTTTTAAAAGGTGAAAACAGTGATAGCATGGAGTCATCTGATCTCTGTATAAGGTTAGGGGAGGATCTGTACTCTATGTTAGCAGAGCGTTTGTACAAAGATATAGAAAATATGGAGCTGTATGATGTTTTCATGACTAATGTTTTGAAACACCCCAGTGTTGGTCAAGCTTTTATTGATGTGTTAAAAACAAAGTCTTACACAGAGTTGAAGTCTTTGTTTCTATATGTGCAGAGAGACATATCTAAGGTAGTGAGTAAAGGAAAGCTTGTAAGGGAGGAATGTAAGAAGAGGAATGAGAGGAGCAAGGAGTCACGCAGACAGATGGTTCTGCTGAATGAGAGGATTGATACATACAGTGTGATGGTTATCAGTTGGGTTGTTTACTATGGACACACTAAGATTTTACAATATATTTTAGAGCAAACTGAGTCTCACTACGAAACACAGTCTAAACTTTTTTTGAATTCTTTTAATCTTGCTTTAATTTTTCCAACAAAGCAAGGGGAGAAGGATATTGCAGCAAATAATCCAATAGAAAATTTGTGGTCATTTACAATCTGGGACATTGATGGATCCATAACTGAACAACAGCGCTTACTTTCGCTGAATTGTTACAATGGAGATTTGGAAACTGTGAAAATACTTATTAAATATCTGAAAAAAATACGATTTATATGACCTTTCCAGATTGAGATCTGGAATACGTTCTAGATGATACAACACTTGAAGCTGCGTGTGAGGGTGGGCATCTGAGTGTAGTGAAGGAGCTCTTAGGGGCAGGGGCTAATGTCAACCCATGGGGTGACTATAATACACCACTGATAGTAGCTTTTGAGGGTGGATATATCAGTTTAGTGAAGGAGTTGCTGGAGGCAGGGGCTGATGCCAATCTACAAGGAAAGAATGAAACACCATTAACTACTGCATGTAAGGGTAGACATCTAAATATAGTGAAGGAATTGCTCAGCACAGGGGCTTATGTCAATCTACAAGATTATTCAGATACACCACTAATGGTTGCATGTAAGGGTGGACATCTAAATATATTAAGAGAAATGCTAGAGGCAGGGGCTAATGTTAATATTCGAGGTAATTCAGATACACCATTAATTGGTGAATGTCAGGGTGGACATCTGGATATAGTAAGAGAGCTGCTAGTGGCAGGGGCTTGTGTTAATGTGCAAGATGGGATATATACACCATTGATAGCTGCATGTAGTGGTGGATATCTAAATATAGTAAGAGAGCTCTTAGAGGCAGGGGCTGATGTTAATCTACAAGATACCCGGGGGTCGGATACACCACTAATGGGTGCATGTAATGGTAGACATCTAAATATAGTTAGAGAGCTGCTAGAGGCAAGAGCTGATGTCAATTTACAAGTTAAGTATCTTACATCAATGACGTCATGCATGGATGAACATATAAATTTAACAAAGGGAGTCCAAGAGGAAAGTGCTTTTGAAAATCCAAGATATGTTTTATGCACCACTGGCAGTTGCATGTAAGTGTGGACAAATAAATACAGTGAAGGATCTCATAGAAACAGGTGCTGATGTCAATCCATACGGTAAAAAAGATACACCTTTAACGGCAACAATTTAAGGTGGAAATATGATTATAGTTAAGGAGCTGCTTAGGGCAGGGAGCGATGTTAATCCACAAGATAAGTTTGATACACCTCTGATAGCAGCATGTGAAGGTGAACATGAGAGTTTTGTGAAAGAGCTGTTAGGTGCTGGGGCTGATGTTAATCTACAAAGTTTTCATGAAACACCACTGATAGCAGCTTGTTATTGTTGAAATATGAGTATTGTGATGGAGCTGTTAAAGGCAGGAGCTGATGTCAATGCATAAATTAAATTCCATACATCACTGATAGCGGCATGTTGAGGTGGACATAAAGATGTAGTGGAAGAGCTAGTAAAAGCAGGGGCTGCTGTCAATTTCCATGGTAATTATTATAAACCACCGAGAATGGGTGTAGGGAAGGTGTTCAAAGTGTCATTTGATATATCTTATACACCACTGACATAAGCATGTGGTTGTGGATATACGAATGAAGTTATAACGCTGCTTAAAGCAGGGGCTGATATTAATCCACAGGATGAATATTTAACACCACTAACAGCACCAATCAAGGGCGGATATATGAGTTTAATACATGAGCTGCTTAGTGCAGGGGCCGATGTCAATCTACAAGGAAAGTATGAAACACCACTGACAGACGCATGTAATAGCGGACATAAAAGTATGGTGATAGAGTTGTTGAAGGCAGGGGCTGATGTCAATCTACAAGACAAGTTAAATACACCACTCACAGCAGCATGTAAGCATGGACATGTCAGTCTAGTGAAGGAGTTACTACAGATAAGGGCTGATGTCAATCTTCAAGGTGAGTATGATTCACCACTGACGGCTGCATGTAAAGGTGGACATGTGAATATTTTGATGGAGCTGTTGAAAGCAGGGGCTGACACAAATCTACGTGAACAAAGAAAGTATGATACACCACTGACACAAGCATGTAATAGGGGACGTATGAGTGTTTTGTTGGAGCTGTTGAAGGCAGGGACTGCTGTCAATCTACAAGGGAAGTATGAAACACCACTGACAGCAGCATGTAATAGCGGACATATGAATGTAGTGATGGAGCTGCTGAAGGCAGGGGTGATGTCAATCTACAAGGTGATTATGATACACCAATGACAATAGCATGTGATAAGGGACATACAAGTATGGTGATAGAGCTGCGAAAGGCAGGAGCTGATGTCAATCTACAATGACAGAATGATACACCACTGACGGCGGCATGTTAGAATGGATATATGAATATAGCCAAAATCCTGCTAGACGCAGGAACTGATGTAAATAAATAAGCAGGATAAGGAAGGAAATACCCTTCTCTATACAGCTTTTTTAAATATGTTGACGGTGCGACCGTTAGAGCGAGCGCAAACTCTTCTATTGTTTTAATTTAGATCGGGCTCGTCAAACCGCACGTGACATTTGGTGCGTCTAGACTCTGACGTCACCTGACGTATGTGAGTTTCAATTCCAAGAAAAAGCCTGAACAGTGCTGAAAGTTAATGAAGAACGTTTCGTTTTTCTATTTATCTTCAATATATATCCATGTAATCAAGGCGGGTACACTTTTTGTTGAACATTTGTCGTTATTCTCGCGAGAACGTAGCGAAAACAAGTGATGCATTGTGGGTCGAAATTACGGCATCAAAAAATTCTATCGAATGAATGTGCAGTAGTCCGAATTTTCTCTTCGCACAGGCGTTGCTTTAAGAGCTCTCAGTGACGAGCGTCGCTTCGCGACGCTCGCGGCGCTCGCTATAATCATAAAGAAACTTTTCATTCCTGTAATACTGTAATATTACGAATGTATAATATTCATGATGCAGACTTGACTATCAGTAATAAAAATGGTCTATCAACATTCTATATTGCATTGATTAGAAATGAAATTGGTTCTGTAAAAGAATTAATAATGTGACGATCGGGCTCGAGATTCAGTCATAACGGGATTTATCATTTGGGTTATGGTGAAAGCCGAGGGTAGTCCGGATGTTGCGCTAGAGTATATATAAGAGCGCATCCGAGGTAGTTTGTCATTCTCTGTTTGGCTGTCAGGAGAGCAGGTACGGTGGTAGAGATAATAAAAAGTTTAACAGTGTTAATACAACTGCCCAGTGTTGTAGTTTTACTAGCTTGATTTGCAGTGGTATATTTACTGTAGATAAATACAAGCGGTGTTTTTCTAGTACCTGGCTACAGGCTGCGTCAGATCAAGGGACACAGCCGTATAGAGACACATCCCTGAGACCGATACTCCGGACAGATACTCAGGACAGAGCCCGGTCCGACATTATATTGTTTTGGTTTGCTTTTATAATATAGGGATAGATAATCCTAGAATATATGTATATATTGACTCGTTTTCATCTTAATCATTTTGGTAATTATTTTCTGTAAATCTGATCATTTTTATAAACACGCGGACTGATCCAAATCATCGGACCCAGAACACGTTACAATAAGAACCGATGATGAAAGTCAGATGAATAGACTGAGATTACACTTGTTTGATTGTTTGTTTGATATAAGACACGGTGACGTAATGACTGATAGTAAGGATGACGTGATGGTGACACGGAGACGTGTATGGCGTATGAAGAAAGGGGGGAATTATAAGATATGGGGAGCTGTTTATAAGGCATTAAGAAAAAGTAATTGTAAGAGTATGGAGGGAGAGAATATGTATTGCAGACGGGATATTTTGTATTATTCAATCATAAAAAGTGACTGTAAGGGTTTAAAGCATATTGTATGTTTAGGTCTTGATGTCAATCAGTGGATACAGTTGTATGATGACAATGAAAGGTCTGATTGGAGAGCTCTGCTGTTCACATTGATTGATGAGATGTATCATTACGGAAGATTAATAGATAATGTAATGGTTCTCCTGGAGGCGGGGGTGGATGTCAATGTCAGGGTGAGGTACAGTGAGTATGATTCTTTGTTAGACAGAGAGGGGGTGTCTGTTCTAGAGAGGACAAGACGACTGGTGAGTGAGGTAAGAAAAAGTTGGTTTGTGTTTGAAAGAGAGGAAGTGACAAATTACAGAAGAGTGCTTAATGAAGTAAAGAAACATTTGAGGCGATACTCTGTGTGAACAGTATACAAATTTCCATATACTTCAGTATATATTTATAAGTATAACATTCATATTTTTGGAAATCGTAGGTACTATAACACACCTGGCCGTGCCGACAAATTGAATACCATACATTAGCAGAGACATCCAAAAATATACATTCAATGCTTATATTTACATTTACTAATTTTCCCTCGTCATAATTATTTAACTTTTTAATCTTTAAATTTAATTTAACGCCCTTCAAACCTAATGTGCTTAATAGACGTAAGAGTTGTTAGTGACGTTGGAAAGTAAAAATACCCGCAAAGGAACATTGCGATGGAAAAAAGACAAAATAATTTGTCGCACATGTGTTGTACTTTTGCATTGTCAATTTCTGAGGTACCACTAGGCCAATTTTAACCAAACTTGGAACAAAGCATTCTAGGAAAAAGGGAGTTTAAATTGTTAAAATAATGGGTCTATTCTCCTTACAAGGAGAGATAATCAAGAGAAGACAAAAATAGGATGGGGTCATTAAAAACCTCAAGAATTTCTCAAAAACCACTGGGCTAGCAAAGCTGAAACATATGTGGAAGCATTCTTGGGTATTGTTAATTTTAAATTGTTAAAATCATGACCCCTGGGTGTAGGGCGGGGCCACAATAAGGAATCCAAATTTTACATTAAAATATATTGGAAAAATCTTTAAAAATCTCCTCTAAAGAACCACTAGGCCAGTGGAGCTGAAACTTATGTGGAAGCATTCTGGGGTAATACTTTCTAAAATGTTTAAAACATGACCCCCGAGGGTAGGGCAGGACCACAATTGAGGATCTAAATTGTACATAGAAATATTAAGGAAAAAGCTTTAAAAATCTTTTTCACAACACTAAACCAGGAAAACTGAAACTTATGTGGAAGTATTTTGGGGTAGTGTAGATTCTAGAATATAAAAATCATGACAGGGGAGGGTGAAGGGGCCACAATACGTATAAAAAGAGGGGAAACCTGGTAAAAAAAAACTGCATCGCCAAAGTTACTCAGGTGAGCGATGTGGCCAGAGGGCCTCTTGTCATTGAATTGAAATAAAACATTGTGCTTTTTTGGTGTTCCTTATACATGTATATTGAATATTGAAATTGCATCAGGATTTCATCAGGAAAATTATACTTAATGTTACTGCATGCATTTATGCTACACTGCTCCATGGCTTTACGTTTAGCACACTATGGTGTATTTTAATGCGTGTTGCTTTCTATAAAATTTCTACAAAAGCTAGATGGGTTGAAGATTGAGAAAAACGTTCTCAATATTTTTGAAAAATAGAATTCCGTAATTAATTAAATAAGATTATTAAAAAAGATAAAAACAGACGAAAATGAAATAAGTTACAATCAGTCAAAAAATTTAAACAAAATTAGAATGTATTACAAATTATTGATGTTATTGAATTTAATTACATTATATAATGCACATGTATTTATGATATATTGTCACCACTACCTCCTCATGTTACTGTCTTTTTTAATTGTAAAACATAGCCATTATTTCAAGTATACAGAAGACAGATTTTTATAATAATAATTTAGTTTCTATATAATCATTATATGAAATAAGGATTTTGTGTAATGTGTTGATCTGAATTTTGCACTACCCTTTTTAGGTCTATTCAGATATGAAACACATATTTATTCTATTTTAATCAATGAAGAATAAGAATGTGTGTGTAATTAATTATTTCGAACTCTTCTCTTCTTGGTTAGAGAGTTTACAATTACAAGACAAAAACAATGTACATGCACAAGGCATCTATTAAGAGACAATGTACATCATGTATTCCAATTATTTTGAAAATGTTAATGTAAATGAACAGTGCACAAAAATAGTTTAAAGAGAATTCAAATAGTTACAATGTTACTCCTACAAAAATTTCTAAATGAAATCAGAGACTATCAAAGTTTTTGAAATCTGATATTTGTGTTAAGATATTTTTAAGATTTGCTTTAGAAGAACAATAATGGGTAATTCTGTTCAATGATTACAAAATAGAATCCTTTCAGTGAAATGCTATTTAAAGAAAATATTTTTTTATCTCACAACTATTGTACTTTTAGTAAATAACAGAAAAAAGCAATGCAACCTTCTTTTTTTTTTTTTTTTGAATTTCACGAAAACATCTTCATTATGGAGTTATCTTCGTATGCACATTTTTACAAAAACTTCTAAAAGACTTGAGTTTAACATATGTTGTATTAGTTTTGGTGAAACTCCATAATGTTATCATAATAGGGTTGTGAATTTCTATATTCTATATACAAAGTAATATATATTTTCCTGCTTGAAACAAAATTAAATACCTATGATTAATGGGCACTACTTCATTTAACTGTGAAGTACAAAATAGAAAAGTGCATGTTAATTCAAAAATTTGAATTGAACAATTAGACAATAAGTCGAAAACTTATGGTCACCATGGATTACTATTTTTGACTGACAATTTAAATTATAATAATTTTTCAAATGATAAAAAATGTGTATGATTGATAAGAATGTTTCTTTTATTTCTATTTTGTCAGAATTTGGAAGTGTGAATGTATAAGGGGATTGGGAATAAAATCATTTAATGTTACTTTGTACTTAGAAAGTCTCTTTAAATTAAAAAAATCTGTTTTATTACATAGTATGGGATAAAGAATTAAGTTTCTCCGTGCATAATACTAAATGAAAATTTACGCAGTGGCTATTACAGTATTATTCTACATGGATTCCTTTGTTTTTATATGACTGGTAAACTTCAATGCATTTTTTTCGTACAAGTTGTGTATACTTATCGTAAAATATACTGAACAAAAAAAGAAACGCAAATTGTCATCGATGCAGTTTCGAAAAAGTATATGGGACAACTATTTTTTTTAATGATTGGATACCTGTGACCTATTTAAAGTGCAACATAGGCTTTTAAACACCGATTGTTGAATTATTTCCCTTGATTAATCGTGTTTATGAAAATATACTGCTTTACATGATTTTTTGTTCATCGTGGGTCTATTTTCAATGCAATTTTGGATTAAGAGAAACAATAAACACTCCCATTAAATCCATATTTATGCTTTGATTGCAATGTTGATGCTGCAATGCCACGCCTTAACAAAGTTGAAGGCAACATGACTCTAATAATGATATTAACCGGAGCTACCCAACAGAAAGTTGCAACTGCATTTTAAACTGAAAATTTAGATTATCATATTTACTCTGAATATGCATTTTTTTGTTGAGTATATATAGAACTTTCATGTGAGAATTAGAAATATCTGAGTCGTAACCCATATGGTATATGTGTTTAAAAATCTGTGTATGTACAGAGTCCAGCAAACTTATCAAAGATGGCATCGTATTAATTGTTCATTTCTAAGTAAAGCTCAACATTCCTTTGTAAAGTAAAACTATGTTTAGATAACCCATATATTATATGTGTTTAAAACCTGTGTATGTACAGAGTCCAGCACACTTATCAAAGATGGCATCATATTAATTGTTCATTTCTAAGTAAAGTCAACATGCCTTTCTAAAGTAAAACTATGATAACTTAATAGGTAACTTTAAAAGTTTTTTTTTTGTTTTTGGTGTTACAGATGTTGATGTTATTAATTTTCCCACAAAATCATGTGAAATTTAATCTGCATATTCGAGAGCTGTTCGACAATTACGATGACATTTTATGCCATTTTTATTATATTAATGTCACAGCCAAGTCTAGGTAGTTTAGTTGTACAGTTGTTGTAGTGAAGAAATAAACAAACAAACACGGCTGCTGGGTTCGATAGTCTTTTATATAATTAACGTTATAAACAGAAAAAGAAGAGGGTGACTGTAATCCTAGACTTAATGCCACAATATCGTAAGATATAAAGTTGTGTTGGGGAGAGAGAGCGTCTTCACTCTCCAAAGTCTAAGGTTGGAGTGCCCGTGAATTAGTACAGGCGCGAATGCACATAAGACATATAGGAAAACCAGTTTGACCACTCACACACTCGGATACTCTCACTGACCACTCACCCGTATAAATGAATGCATGAATGAACAAAGAATTAAATGAACGTAGTAAATTCCGTAGTGACGACAGAATTCACTAGTTACTATTATACAGTTATTGAATGGGTATGAGGGCAACATATGATTTGTTGGACCTGAAGGTGAAAATGTTGCCCGAGGCCGCAGGCCAAGGGCAACATTTTCATCTTCAGGTCCAACAAATCATATGTTGCCCGAATCCTAGTCTATAACTGTTTTGTTATACCCTTCACTGCTCACTTAAGATTGATCAATTTTATCAATACACGCTATACTATCAATTATTTTATATGGAAAATTATGGCTTCTTCAGTAAATATAAACATCAAGCTGAGAAAGAACAAAATCAATTATAAGTCTATTATATCACAAAAATTATTTATCACAAAACATACTCTTCCCTTCTACCTTACCTTGCTGTTAGCAACAACTCTTAATAGCTCTTAACTATTTTAGCTATTTTCGCGTCGCCGATATTGAACGATGATTATTAATTGTGACGTAACAGACATGTGACGTTGCGGTCTAACAATTCTTTGTAAGACCGGTCAATAGTGAAATTGTTAGACCGACGTAATAAACATTTCTTTTGTTGGACTTTTTATTAGTAAGAAATATATAGAAGGATATTTATAAGGGTATAACAAAATAAAATGATGCCTTATAATAATATATGAAAATGATATGAATGATAATTAGTAATATTAATTAATTAATTATAATTCACCCTGTGACATTCTCCTCCTCTTTGAGAAAAATGTGTCCTCACATTTCATCAAATAATATAGTACAAAATATATAAACTGAAATAAAACAATTATTAATATTAAAATATATCAACACACATATGATTTCTAATGTTTTGCAACATCTGCTGCTTTGTAGCAGAAAAGAAAGTATTTTGTATTAGCACAAGCTGAAATACAAAAGTATTCAATCAATTCATGTATGTATAGTTGTCATAAAACTGGCATTATGAATGGATAAGCTGAAAAGCAACCCATGATTAATAATGTATCATAAAATACATGTATAAGTAATATGATCAACTAGCAATCACAAAAGTCATTAAACTATCAACTTTCAGTACATCTTAGCTCTACTAACTTTAGATATTATACATATATCACATGGCTTCGAGGGTGACATACCAGAATATTTGCCCCGATATGACAGGAAAGCTCTGGAGTGT